AGAGAGAGAGAGAGAGAGAGAGAGAGAGAGAGAGAGAAGTTGCCTTTCTGAGAGGGAGCTGGAAAAGAGAGAGAGGAACTAAGACTGCAAGCAGGAAGGAAGACCTGCCTGCCTCAGTGGATGGTGGGGGAGTGGGCATGGCTTGTCTCTTAAAGAGATAGAACATTCATTACAAATGTACCACTACTCACTCTTTCATGTCGAAAGGCTTGCCTTTCTCTGCCTCTCCTCAAGTATTTTACCAAAATATCTTCATACTGTTCAATGATGGGGAACATCTAAGCACAAAATGAAAAAGTATCCATGGTTGTTAGGTGTGGAGACTCAAGTCACACAAACATTTCAATTAATAGTCCTTTTAGTCACCTCTTTGAGTTTTCCACTGGTGAAGGTGGGAGAAAGCAAGGCTCGGAGTCTCTTCTATTTTTCATCCTTGGATATGGAGACAGCTTTACTCATTATCCCTACTGGGCCCAATTCCTAGACTCCAAAAAAATACAAATATTGTTCTCTCTAAATCCAGAATTTTCCATGGTTGCAAAAGTGATAAGTGGATATTGCTGTGTTACAACCAGTTAGTGACTGTTTGCTATAGATCAAGCCTCATGCTAGATGAAACAATAGTCAGAATTTACTCACATCCTGTAAGAAATCAGGTGATCACTCGGATGGCTGTCTATTGATATTTTAAACCTTTATATTTCAGGATCTTTCTAAACATAAATCTCTCTGTGGTTGGAAAATTATTTCCATGGGTGGGTGTAAAGATGGGAGCAAGAATTTCTGTAGACTCTCCATTTGCAGATGGCAAATGGCTTGGTTATAGGATAGTAAGTTAACTCTGCATCAGACAAGTTCACCAGTACATTATTTACAGCACAAGCAATGTTAAAAGGGAATTTTTTTGATATGGTGTGTGTGTGTGTGTGTGTGTGTGTGTGTGTGTGTGTGTGTAGATTAGAGTGTGGTGTGCATGCTCATTAGGAGACCAGAGGTCTGGCATCTTCCTCTATAACTGTCTACTGCAATTTTTGAGCCAGAGTCCCTCAATGAATCTAGAATGTTCTAGCTTGGTTAGAGTAGATAGGCAGCAAGCCCCTAGGGCCTACCTATTTCCAACCACAGCTCTGAAAGTTATGCCCAGGTTATATGTGATGCCGAAATCCAAACTTTGGTCCTTTACCCACTGAGCCATCTCCCTAGCATGAGATACTTAAAGGATTTGGTGTTTGGGTTTTCAAGATGTATTTTAATACTTTATGCATTTCTGTCTGTGTGTGTGTGTATGAATTTATACATATGTGTGTCCAGTGTAATCAGAGGATGAAGGAGCAATTTGGAGCTCCTGTCACAGGAGTTAGAGGTACTTATGAGCCCATGTATATGGGTGTAGATAACCAACTCCTCATCCTCTTTCAGAGCTTTCAGTCACTAAGTCATCTCTCTGACCCAGGTTTGTTTGGTTTGGGGTTGTTTGTTTATTTAGGAATGGTGTCATAGAAGTCTCTTTCCTTAATTAGGTTGCTGTGATAAAAGAGTAATATAATTCCATTTCACTGGTGGGAACTTCCTTCTATCTTCTACAGTTATATTTTATACAACATGGTGTCTCCCAACCGCCCTTATATTAAAACACTCAGCACAATAGTAAGAAATGAAAATGGCTTCCCTTGATGAAGGGCAGCTGCAAACTAACCCTACAGCCAGTTTCGCCAGATGATCAAAGACTGAATGAGGGTCTAAGAGATGGCTCAGTAGGTAAATGTGCTTGCTGCTAAGCCAAAAAATCTGAGTTCAAGCCCTAGGACCTATAGTATAGAGAGAACCAATAGATTTTCCCAGATAGAACAGTGGGATAGTTATGGTTTAAGAGAGAGAGAAAGAGAAAGAGAGACAGACAGACAGGGACAGAGAAAACATTGAACTAAGTATCATATCTCACATCAAATTAGCATAAATAAAGCTTTAGATTTGAGAGATAATCTCAAAAGGATATAATTTGTACAGAAGCAAATCTACACAAACTGGTCAAGTGAATAATCATCACCCTGTAGACCCTGACCATCAACTGAGAAGAGAAATGGATATACAAGGTAAAGAGAAGGCAGGCAGGCTGTACATGACAGTTAATGGGCTAGGAGAAGGGAATTGCAGGTAAAGAAAAGCTCTATTTTCTGCGTGGTTGTCAGCACACAAGTCTAGACCTGTGATAAACTGTACTGATCCACACAGACATAAGAAAGGACCCATGAAAAAGCAAATGTAAATTCAATGTAGATGACAAGAGTGTCCATCTACAACTGGATCACAATAATATATTATATTTACACTTCCTCATTAGCAAAATGACTACCTAGACCCTGCTTGCATATTATTATGGAGGCTATTGGGAATATATATTTATCTCATT